GTACGATATTTGGTATGGAGCACTTTTGACATTCCTCTTATTGTTCCTCCCATAGCCCTATCTCCGAAATTACTCTGCCTCATTTGTCGCGATCCGCCTATAATCTTGGATGCATAGTTTCAGAGTGACGAATCACGGTTGCAATCTATGTAGGTCCCAACTTCCCATTCAAAACCAATTCAGATCATATTAATCGCAATCCTCACATCTACACCCATAGAGCTATTTTCCCGCGGCTGTTGTCACCACCATTACCCCCCCCTTCTACTTAATTAATGCATTTAGATTGTACTCATTACGAAGACCTCAATCTTGGCGCCCGGTCAAGTTATTTTCTGTCAGTCTCCCTCGGTCGCCCGGGGGGGGCTGTGGTGGTCGGCGGTGTTGGCTTCTAGAGTTTGACGGCTACTGTGTTTACGACTAGGGTTGGCGAGATTGGGTGTTGTTGAGTGTTAGGGTTTGGTAGTCCACCGTAGTAGACTATAGTACACTGTAGTATACTTTGCTTTTAGGGTTTGGACAAGTAAACTATAGTAGATCATAGTACACTGTAGTACACCATAACCATAGTATATCATAGTATACCATAGTGTTTCATAGCCTACTACAATTTTGACAACAAATAAAATTAAAAAAATGTAAATTGAATAAAAAAACGAAAAAACAATTTTTTTTATAATTTTCAATATTATGTAGGAAAAAAAATATTTTTTTATGTTTTTTATAATAGTGTAAAAATGATATAATTAGATTTTTATAATAATGAAAACAATACGACATGAAAAAAAAGAAATATGTAGAAAAAAAAAAAGATAAATATATTCTACGTGAAAAAAATAATAAAAAAATGCTAGATGGAAAAATGAAAGTGATAAATGCTGTTAAAATATTATTTGATGTATATTACAATTTTTATTTGTTAAGGGCATTTTTGGAATGGAATTTATAAAGGATGTGAAGCAAAGATTTAGTTAGACTTGTCATTTAGTTCTAATAAGTTTTGTCACTAGGGACCTATATCTTAAGACCCCAAGAATAAATAACGGCACGTGCACTGACTCGGAATCACTATTCAGTATTCACTAGAGCCTCTCACACATGTTTGATTTAACAAAATTTAAAATCCCCAATCCCTCTTCAATTTCGCACCCTATGCATAATTTGAAACCCTAGGTTGCACTGCGAGCCAAAAATCAGCCGAAAAATTGAAGACAAAGGATTCATCGGAGCCAAAAAAAGATGATGAAGGTGTTCGGACTGAAGAAAGATAAGGAATCCCCTCCGTCAATTCAAGATGCCTCCGATCGGGTTTGTAATTTCATCACTTCGATTTATTTTTATGTTATTTTTCAGTTCAAATACATATTTAGTCTAATTGATGATGATGATGATGATGCTAGCAAATCCATTCAACAGAGTTACGTTTTGATTATTTTTTATTTTTTTTCTTCTTTTCGTTGTAATTGTAATTGGAGCTGGGCAAGTTTTAATTTGGGTTGCTTGATGAACTGATTCTTCGAATGATTTTTATTCGTTTATCTTTTTTCAGAGTAATAAAAGAGGAGGCAGCGTCGATGAAAAGATAAAGAAACTTGATGCTGAACTAATGAGATACAAAGAGCGGATCAAGAAGTCCGGGCCGGGCCCAGGGCAAGAAGCTGTCAAAGCCAGAGCCGCGAGGCTTCTTAAGCAAAAAAGAACGTACGGTGACTCCCCCTATCCTTTTTGTTACAGTAGCCAATAGATGCATATTTTCGGTAACTAACTTGAATTTGGATTTTTGGGTTTCTTAAATTTTTAAAAGATTTCGTTCGCGAGATGTGGAAGAAGGGTGATATTATTTCGTTTGTATGTTTCTTTCGATTTCTTTCTTTTATTGTTATTATTTTTTTTTAAATCATAGAACACTTAGCGCTGTTATTGTAATTGAAACCATCGCCCTCAACACTTTTATCATTGAAATTCTCGATTAATATATCTTTTAATTTTACGGAGTTAGATTAACGTAGTTCAGTATATGAAGTTAAAAACTCGTTGAATTGTTCAATTTGGTGAACCAAGTGGATTATTTTTTCCGCATCTCTTATCCCACACTTCTCCCTTTTATTGATTAGGGATTTTTTAAAATATTGATGTCTTAGTACCGATATGTTTTCAGCTAGACCCATTCCTGGCATGCACATTTGAATGTGCATGTGAATGGATATTATTGTCGATTAGAATTAACCTTATATTGCACATCGTCAACATTTCACTCACTTGCCTGTATAGATAATACGCACATAATTTTGAAATTATATGAACAGGTATGAAGGTCAACGGGATATGCTGTACAGCCAGACATTTAAACTAGATAAAGTCGCATTTGCTGTCGAGGAAGTAAAAGATGCTGAACAAAAAGTACGTTTTGCAGAGTTTCCATGTTTTTTTTACTGCAATGAATTGACGTTGACTATGTTTCGTATTGGGTGTTTTTTTTTCTTTGTCGAGAGAGTGTGTTCTGGAAAATGTATGTATTTAGAGAAAAGGAAGTATTGGAAACATGATGTATATTTGGTTTTATCGTAGGAGGATAAATGGAGATTGAAAAGGGGGAAGAAAACCAAATGAATGAGGTTTCATATTTGATTTTGACTGTCAAGAGAATTTTAAAATAATCCTGATTCTTGTTTTCTAAGGCCTCGTTTGTTTGGGGAGATTAGCCATTATTAACTAAATAATAGGAGTTTGTTTGGTATTTAGCATTACCAATAACTTGCCGGGTCAACCCGCAAATATTATGGTATTATGACTTATCTTGTCTGATCTTGCCGTTTAGTGAGTTTTTTTGTTGGACGTGGTGGGGTCCGATAAAATAACTGGTTTCACTAGATTATTTAACACTATCTTGCTAATCCTATATTGCCGACCAAACAAGGCCTAAATGGATTATAAAGAAATTCTTAACACGTCATAATGAATTGTAGTGGTGTTGATATGTCCGTAATATTTCATAAGAAAATGACCCGAGTCATCTGATCTGTCAAAAAAGGTGGGGCAATGGCTTATAAGTTATAACATGTTTGATACTGTATTCTGAAATATATTGTTTTTCTCTGTAGATGTTAGTCGGAGTTTCTTTTTGGTCTTTCCGAATATAATTGATTTGTAAAGTTCAAATTTATAATGTCTTCATTAATCACTATTATGGAACCACCGAATTCACCTTAAAATGTGTTTTCCCTTTGTAGCGCCGCATAGAAGAAAGTTCAAGACTTGCTAGGCCGGGCTTATTCTGTAATGTACTTGGAACCTGCTGCCTACCTCCTTAGAGGTAGCCCTTATCACCTATTTTTGTCACAAAGAAACGAAAATGTTTTCCGATTTCGTAAAACTGTTCCAATATCCTAATATAAGTTTTTTTTTTTTTTTTTTTGCATTAATTAGATCCATTGATATAAGGCTGATATCATTATAAAACAATTTTGCTTCACTTTTCAAGATGTCGGCCTTAACGTCGGCAAACGAAGAACTTCAAAGGAATGGCGAAAACTAGGGGTGGTAAACGAGCCGAGCCGACTCGTGAGCTCGACAAGCGGGCTCGTAAAAAGCTCGAACTCGGACTCGAGGTTTTCGAGCTCGAGCTCGCGAGCTTGAGCTTTCTGACGAGCCGAGCTCGAGCCAGTTTTTAGTTGTTCATGAGCTCGCGAGCGGGCTCGCGAGCCTTATTTATTATTATTTTTATATGTTATTTTTATTTAAATAATGTATAATAATATAAAATATTATAGAAATAAATACAACTATAAAAAATATATATAATTACGATTTAGTTTTTATTTTGTATTTTTTTAAATAATTTTTAATAATAAAATAACAATTAAAAAAATATTTAAAAAAAAAAAAAAAAAAAAAGAGCTTGGGCTCGAGCTCGACAAATTGACACGAGCTCGAGCTCGAGCCAAAAAAAGAGGAACTCGACGAGCTCGAGCTCGAGCCAGCCAAAAGAGGCGAGCTCGCTCGAGCTCGGCTCGTTCACACCCTTAAGTATTAACTATACCGGTTGTGTGCATCTATCTATCCATGTCTTTTAAGTTGATTTACAAGGCCATTCCGAAAGAGAGAAAGATAGAAGAAGAGAATCGAAAGTGAGTCGGCACCCATGGTTTTTGGCATTTAGAAGTTAGAACAGAATCAAGTACTTCGAAACCATCTTTTCTTCTTCAGTTATCTCTGCTTTGCTTCCTGCTTATTACCCTAGGTAAGTTTACCTGTTTTTCAGATTCCATTCTCGATTTATTTATTTATTATTTTTTGTTCATGTTCTCGGTCTTTTTCCGTATTTATTCTTCTGTTTTTTTGTTCGTTTCGACATAATTTTCGGGTCGAATTGTTTGTTGTGCATATGTATTAATGAATTGATATTGTGATGCTGTAGATCGGGCCCTGCCGTCTAAAATTACCTAGGGATTGCACTTGCACCGGCTCAGGAGGTAGGAGTCTCATGATTATTCATTCCCCTTTTTTAAATATGTGCTGTTACTGTTATTGGGCATGCCACATTATAGGTGCTATAATGTTGCAGAATATTGACAAGATTAAGAAAGTTGTAGATGAAGGAAACTGCTATGGTGCTCAGCAGATGTATAAATCTTTTGGTGCAAGGTATGTTTGTTTACGTACTATTTATTTTCTTTGTCTGTCTGATGTATGTTGATATTGTGTGGGATTAAGAGGGTGAAGGAAGGGGCTTAAATCAAAATATCAAATCCTTCCTCTAGACTAGAGGCACATGGGATTCTCTATTTTACATTGGATTTTTATGGAAGGAAACTAAAGGACTTATATTCTGTTTGTTTTCTATACTAAAGAACCGTCAATGTTTAAACATTGTGCTTCACCGGCAAAAATATTGCCAAGTTATTTAGACGATTAGGTATGTGTTCATGCTAATTTGCTCATCAAGTAATAAGTACGAGCTCCCATCGATGCAAGCTGTTATATTTCGGCGGCATAGATTAACTTATAAAATAGAGACCTCAGAAATTAACAACTCTTGCCTTTGTTCGATCATTGAGTGTCTAGCTGCGACCTTTTTTGGAAGTGTTCAATAAGTTAGTTTGCTTGGGGTTTTATATCTAGAGCATTTTATTGGATTATGTATGAAATTGAAAATGTGTTACTGGATAGCCAATTTGTGGAAATAAGTCGAAGCACGCATGTCAATGTGTGAAATGAGAATGAGGATAAAAAATTGCCAACCCAGACGTAAAATATCCTAAAATACTTCAACCACCGTTGTTTTACTTTTGCATTCTTTTGTTTTCAGACCCTGTCCTGATAATCCTCAAAGACATTATTGTTGATGTAAGAGTCGATTCCTAAGCTGTTAATCCAGAGGCGGAGCATCTCTCTTCACGTGAAGTTTCAGCATCATCTGTCATTAACTCTGCGAACGATATCTTTTCGTTGTCCACAGATAGTCCATTTCTGTACGTTGATACAAATATTTATTTTAATCATTTGTTTGTTTAAACTTTCTGTACGAGAGAGATCGATCTAGAGAGAGAAGAAAGGAAGGCACCTCTTCTGAAAGATTTGAGCAACAAAAGCAAGATTCAAGTTAGTGGAGCCTTCAACAATATCAATGGGAGTAACATATCTCTTGCAATCAAGCTTCTCAGCTTGCTCGATAACCAACTTTGCTCTTTCAGTTGGATCTTTTGCATCAAGTGTCGATCTTGTGCTGAATTCCGGGGCTAGTGCATTCAGCAGGTGTGCGTATGCTTCTCCGTCCTGCATGCACACGTATGTACGTACGTACGTCGGACATATTAATAGGAAGCCCAAACCAAAACCATGCACCGACATCATATGCAGTTAACAACTTATTGCTGTATGTATGTTACCTTTAAATCTGATGAAAAATTGGTGACCACCCTCTTACATCCGGCTTTCTTCAGATGAAAATTCATCCATTTCAGTAGAACTTTCTCTGGTGCTAACCCAATAAGCTCTTCCACATCCTGCATTTTAATTTTAATTTTATTTTTATTTTATTTTAGAAAATTAAAATGAAGTATGTAATAATCATATTGCAAAGAATAAATTACCTTGCTATCCTCCACCAATTCAACAAGTTGTGGAGTATTCTTCAGATTAAGGTCAGCCAACATTTGTATCTGAGGATTTATTTTCCATTTCAACATATATAATATAATCATAACATAAATGGAATGGAATATAATACCTTGATTATTTGAGAAATCAATCCAAGAACTACATGTGGCTGTGGTGGAAAACATAACAAGATTAATTACTATGTAATTACATTTATTCGAAATAACTGGAAATTAAAAACAGCATGCATGCATACTCAATAATTACTCACTCTTGCTTCAATGAGATCCTGTGTCCCAATATTAACCACAGTACATCCAATTGCCTTTGCAGAATTGAGGCACATAATATGGTTTTCGTTCCTCTCCCATGGATTTAGCACCGGTTTTGTAATTATAGCACCCTCGTCTATAGTACCAGGTACAGCGACATTTATCAGTTTACTGCACAAACAAATTATATAATTCTTAATAAATACATTTTGTCTTCTATTAGTATGTATATGTTTTCATATAAAAGAGATTACGATTATTGGATACCACAAAAGAACTCCGTCTCTGGCCAAGTCAAACAGAGAATTTGATGATGGATCAATAGGGAGATACTCATTCAAGAAGGAATCTTCTCCGAGAAAGCTGTTGATATGGGCAACGTAATATGACTTCTCTGATTCACTGATTGTGTGGCCAGGTGTTGTTGTTGAACTTTTTAGGAACGAAGACGAGTTTTTTAGGAAAGCAGATGCCCTTTTCGAACCCCCTACTTTTGCTTTCGCTCGAGCTTGTAGGTTCAAATATGCCTCCACATCGTCATTACAAAATATATTATATTATTGATCGAACGGAACGAAACGAAACAAAAAGAAAGATGATGAAAAAAGAACAAGGTCGTGTACCCGAAGGAAGGATTCAAAATCAATTTCTTGGTCAAAGTCGGTAGAGGATTCACTCAAGATGTCCTTGACCTCGTCCTGTTTTAAAACATCGATGATGGATTTCAACTGCACCATAATTGGTGGCAAAGCACCCAGTATAACCTTCCCAGATTGATTTCTTGCTGACATAAACTAAATAATTAAGACAATATATAGGAAATTAATTACCATCTTGTTGTAAAATGGCCTATTTATCTAGCTCTTTGGTTTGTGTTTGTGGAAATACATAAGAATGTAAATAACAAGACAAAGAGAGAAAGAGAGAATGCAAAGAACAAGAATCCGTAGAGAGAAAATTGTGGGATACGTGGGGAGGGAGTGTTTCTCATTTATATAGGTGGTAGCCACCGAGAAGTTACAAAGGAGTTACATGTGGAAGTTACGTAGAAGTTACATCGCCACTAACACCATATATAGATATGGGAAGTTAATAAACTAGTGGGAAGTTGAAAACCATCAAGTGGTTATGTTAGGAAACCACACATTCCATACTATTTACAACACTCCCCCTTGGGTTCCTATCAAACCACTATTGTGCTTTTTGTGCTGCCTCGTTAAAACCTTCCGAGTCATAAAACCCATTGGGAAAAAAAGCAATCTCGGTTAGGGAAAAGAGTACAACGCACAATCTTTTCAATCAACAAATGTTGCCTCATTAAAACCTTGTCGAGTAACTAAAACCCTGTGGGAAAAATAAACCTCGCACGAAGGAAAAAGAGTACAACAGGGCACTCGGGTATCTTCTGGATACTGAGTACCTACAGGGTACTCCCCCTCAAGTTAACCCCCCCTGATGTCTACAAGGGAGCGAGCTTGTATAATCTACGCAAGTCAACATCCTTAACATACTTTTCCAAAGTGACTTTAGGCGAAAACTTAATGAATAAGTCAGCGTAGTTATCATGTTTCATGATCTTCTGAATCATTATTGTTTGAGCTCTTATTATTGTTGATTGAAGAAAACCTCATAACTATGTTCTTGGAGTTGTCACATTTAATGAAGCTCGTCTTCATTTGCTCAATGCAGTTAAATACAATCTCTTAGGATCTTTTGTGGTAGCCAATTCACAAAAATCTCGAACATGCTTAATCATGGCTTCAGGCCAAGTGCATTCACTCACTATCTTGTGAAACAAACATCATGCATGATTTGATCTAGTGACAACCGAGGTACATTTCATAGAACCCCAAGACATAGCTATTTTCCCAATACTTAACCATGGATTGGGAACGAGCCTTTTGTGGATATGACTTCTAGTCAATGCCAATATAAACCACAAGTTTCGCCTCATTCATTGATGCATAGGGCGTGTCGGTAAGGTGAGATAAGTCTATCATATAAATTTACCGAAAAAGCTAAATTATATCGAGTACATGGAGTTAAGCATAATAATGCATACATTACATATGGCACTTCTGGTGCTAACACTTCCTCGTCCTGCTCCATAGGACGGAATGAATCATTGGACATTTTCCACTTTCCAGCTCCCATAGGTGTTACTCGATAATTTCTCTTTATCCATAACATCTTCTCGATGTAATTCGATTGATGGACATAAATATAATTGACATGATAAATTTTAAGTTGGCAGAGACAACAAATTAGTCTCATTTAGATCTTTGATCTTGAACTCAAATTTTCAACAATTGAGTTTCTCTTACTTGATTTCTTCAGGAGTCCAAATCAAGTTTATGTCCTTAAACATAAATTGTAGTAATGGGAACAATCAAAATCAATTATTGTTCACATATTCTCTTCCGGAGCAATTACTCACTTAGGATATTATCATATTCTACCGGAATATTTCAAGCCTCAATTTAAGTAAACGTCTCAACCCAACTAAGTTTATGTTCTGTGGTCTGGAACTAATTGTTTCGGGGAAACATAGTCCTTTAGGGACTTTCATATAAATATTTGTATCTAGATCCCCGTAAGATACTTTGTGACCGAGAATTTAATAACATTCACCATGAAAGAGTATACCTCTTTAAAATCAATCTCGGGTTGTTGAGGAAATCCTTGAACTATGAGATGAGTCTTCGAGCTCCCAATCTCATTTGCTCTTAGATCATTGTACAATGAGATGAGTCTTCTGGCTCCCAATCTCGTTCGAGCTATGAGATGAGTCTTCTGGCTCCCAATCTCGTTTAAGCTATGAGATGAATCTTCAGGTTCCCAATCTCATTTGAGCTATGAGATGAATCTTCTGGTTCCCAATCTCATTTGAGATATGAGATGAATCTTCTGGTTCCCAATCACATTTCATTTATTGAGCTATGAGATGAGTCTCCCGGCTCCCAATCTCGTTTAAGCTATCAGATGAATCTTCTAGTTCCCAATCTCATTTGAGCTATGAGATGAATCTTCTGGTTCACAATCTCATTTCATTCCTTGAGCTATGAGATGAGTCTCCTGGCTCCCAATCTCGTTTAAGCTATGAGATGAATCTTCTGGTTCCCAATCTCATATGAGCTATGAGATGAATCTTCTGGTTCCCAATCTCATTTCATTCCTTTGTGAGTACTCACTTATATTCCATGGGTGAAATTCAAGGAGTTGTAGGAACTACTGGTCTCTACACTCTTCATTTTATCAAGGAATCAAATTCAGCTCGTATTGTTTATTTTCTCATTTCGGCGGACCATCCCTTTGTTTACACTTATTTGATCAAGGTTATATATCATCACCCAATAAAAAGTTTAGTAGCTACTGTGTAAGGAAATTTTTCATCGATGATCATTTCATCCCGATACCACATCTCGTTCTTGCATGAATAACTAACCGAGTTTTTCCTATTCACGAGAATGGATATTAATGTCGAGGCGTCCCCCGACTTCGTCTGCAGGACGAATCCATAGTCCGAAATTATTTTATGAGATGGATCAAGTGGGATCCCATTTATACTAGTGCTAAACGAATTCAATTATTGGGCATTCATCCACTTCCGGGGGTGAGAATCATTTTGTCCCATTGCTCCCCCTCTCCTAGCTAGGAAGGGAGGCAAGACTAGTTAGCATGGATTGATGGCCTACCCGTAATTGTCCTTCTAGGACATCTATCCTTGCAGGCTTATTTGAGATCTCGTCACTTTTTCAAATCAGAGAATGGATCTAGCATTATTCGTTCTACACGACTTCATATTTTTCTGTAGGAACATTAGTATGGACGTTCTTTTCAGATTTCTAAGTCGTCCCATACGACTTGACGCCGTTCTTCGGGAACGTTACGATGCACATTACTTGCAAATCTATGTTGTCATCCCACACGACTTCACGTCATTCTTCAGGAACGTTAGTATGGATGATCTATTAATCTATGTATCAATTCTCTGATGTAGGGGATCTTGATGAGACACTGTGGGGTCGTCCCACACGACTTCACGACGTTCTTCAGGAACGGTAGTGTGAACGTTCTTTCCTCCCCCTAACGGCGGGAAGACAGTCTCATCAAAGTGATAGTCCGCAATTAGAGCGGGTAAGAGATCGCCTGTCTAAGGTTGTAAATTTTAGTTGAAGATGGTGATACATAGTCCACATATATCTCCTTGGATTACCTCCAAGAAATGAATTGAATCATTATATGTATGTGCATATGCTGACATATAATCAAATTACAAGCAATCGACAATTTATGCTTCTGGCATTCAAATTGTGGTTCTACATAACCGTGTCGAAAAATTCCTCTAATTTTCCCAATGTACGCTTCTGGTCGTACATGTTAGAGATGATGCACATATATTCGATTTCTTGGCTTCAATGATTTCAACATAATAACCATTAGCTCAAATATCTTTAAAGTTTAATAACGTTCTACTGGAACGTGGAGGAAAAATAACTACTTTAATGGCAAAAGTTGTGCCATGTGATAACATAATGTGGACATTACCATAACCATCTATCAAAACTACATCGGCCTCATTTAGTTATCAAAGAGGTCTTTGCTACTACTAGACATGAAATTAATAAAAATACGACTTATCTCTAAGGATAGTATGTGTAGTCGCACTATCTGCCAGACATTTATCCCCACATGTCATGTCTAGAGCGTTATATATTCTAATCACATATTTTCAGTACTTCAGGTACTAAATAAATTCATCAAGCAAACACCAATGAATAACATAATAATTAACTTAGAACACATAGTGACATAAATATATGATCCAGAGCATGAACTAAACATAATCGAAATACGAATATGGTTCATAACATGAGCATATGAAGTAAGATGGTTGAAATTCAATAAAATAATAAACCCGAGTAATAAAATAAACATAATGCATGAAATCAACAGTTCAATCATATCCCAACAAGGGTTATTTGGTCAGATGTGTCCAAGTATGGAAGATGAGTGACGGGCTATACATTGAAAATACTTACCTCTGCCAACTCAATCTATGCTGGTGCATTATTATTTGCATCTCCATCCCCAACGTAAATTCGTACGCGACCAATGCTCAGATCCACCATATATGTATGTTCTGATTTTGAGCTCTATTCGGATTTTAAAGTTCATATACAAATCGTTTATGAAAACTTGCTCCTTGCTTCAGGCAAGTGTATTGTCTTTTGGTAATCAAAACGACTAGTCAGGTTATCCCATTATGTATGGTGACCCTCGTTCGATGAATAGTCCAGACGAAGGACTTCATCTAATTATCTCGTAATCAGAAACATAGTTTCAGCCTTCTAGGCTTTACCTAATAAATTATCCTCGAAAACAATCATTCTCAATTGGCCACTAAGAGTATGGATCTTAACATCCATTCTCCAACTAATATAACTTTCACCAGATACATTAAGTTGGGTAAACTTGAGTTTGCTCATGTGTTTTATCTCAAATCGAATACAATAAGGAGTATTATTGTTTTATGGGAATGTAACCTCCATAAACAATTTCATGAATATTTTGCACATATTAGAACTTCTGGTCTAATAATTCATACACTACATGTTCATACACATTCATGGATTACATACGATAAACCATAACGACGAACGAAATATTGTTTACCATTTCATATCACAAAATTACATATGGCAGATATGGATCAATTGAATAGAATTCTCCATTAGAGATGGACCAAAATCTTCATGCAATTAAGACTTTGTAAATTTTCAAATATATA